AATCGACCTACCAATAATAGATTAGTGACGACTCTTAAATAAAAATGATTTGTATGTTAAGAACTTGAACCTAACTCGCGAAATTGGTAAGGGTATGGGAGAGCCTGAGCTAGATCTAGGCTTAGTAATCCATTAGTCAACTCCTAGGTAGTGCACCCGTTTGGGTAGGTCACGACAGCTGATTTGAACATTTTCCTTTTAAACAACGTATTCAACTCGTCGCGTGTTTAAGATATATATATATATATATATATATATATGTGTGTGTGTGTGTGCGCGCGCGCGCGCGCGCACTAAATTATTGAGAAATATTCAACTCATTGCATGTTTCCCATCAAGCTGTCTTAATTTTGAATGAGGAATTTATCTTATATACTCAACAACATTATGTCCTCTCCGCGATGATTATGCTATGGCTTCTCTTGATGATTGCATTGATTAATGTCCTTTACCCGCCGCAAAACATGGTTACCAAAATGTAATTCGGGCTTGCTTGGTTTATGAAGCTTGTCAGGTGCTTCACGGGTCTCTAGATAATCAAATCTTCACGCCCATGCTTCTGGATTATAAAAAAAAATTTGTCAGACTTTCAAGTAGACAAAATAAAACCACGCCTATGTTTTACAATAAGGCCAACTTTTTTTTTCTTATTTTATAGAGAACGACATCATCACATATAGATATTTCTTTGGCAATTCAGCTTAGTCCTCTCCTTCTGTATTACATTTCTTATTATGACTTTTCTAACAATCTAAAAATGAGGCCACGTAACTCTCGGGGTTTTTCCGACCAAAAAGAAAAAACTTTCGGGTTTTGATCTATTACATATACAATAACAGTCTCTTCCATAATTTTGGCATCTAAGCTTGAAACATATGACTCTAAATTGCTAGGTAGGCCTTCCTTATTGTTAGATTTTTTTTTTTGGCCTGTTCTATCTCTAATTATCCTCATTTTCTGATTTTTACTCTGCCACTTACAAAGCGGGGTCGAATTCTACACCTATGATACTAACGTCCCTACCCTTCCAATTCTTTTATTAGTAGGTAAGGGTGTCAATGGTTCGATTCGGTTTAGATATATGCTTGATTCGAATCGAAACATGACATGGAACGACTATGTTCCGAAAATGTGGTTCGGTTCGGTTCGATTTTCTGTTTTCCTCTTTTTTTGGCGCTCCTCCTCGTCTTCTTCTTCCGCTCTCTCTCTTCCTTTCTCTGTGAGACTGCTTCTTCTTTCTTCTTCCCGTCAAGAAGTAGCTCAATTGACCCGTCGCCGACGACCCACCAGCGAAAGCCCCCGCCAGATCACTGGAGCTAGACATGGACACTTGCCAGAGACTGAACTTTTGGCGACTGAACCCGCTCTAACGACAAAAAAAGCGAGGAGAGGGACTCGGATGACTCGTTCGGTTAATGGCGGCCACCACAAATATTTCTCAGCTTCCGTTGCCGGCCCAGGTGGACTCGGTCTCGGTGTCGGCCTAGGCCGACGAGCTAACGGCCAAGGCCGTGAACAAACGCTACGAGGGGCTCGTCATGGTACGGACAAAGGCCATCAAGGGGAAGAGCGCATGATACTGGGCGTACCTCGAGCCCATGCTCGCCCACAACGCCGACACCGGCCTAGCCAAGGCCGTGAAGCTCCGGCGTTGCCTCTGCGAGGCCATCTTCTTCGCCTCCGAGCACCTCAAACGCGGCACCTGGCCCAACTTCAAGAAGCTCGATTTTTGTGAAAAAAATGTGTTTTATCACTTTTTGGGACATGAAAATGCTGTGAGGGAAGAGGAAGAGAGAGAATAAAGCAGAAAAGAGAGAGAGAGAGAGGAGAGCAGTGAGAGTGCGAAGATAGAGGAAGAGAGAGAATAAAGTAGAAAAATGAAAGAGAGAGAGGAAAGTGAGTGAGAGGAAAGCAGTAGTGAATAGTGAGAGTGAGGAGGGAGTGCGTGAAGGGAAGAAAAAAACATTAAGAAATCGAAATCTGATCCGCTTTGAACCGAATCGAACCAAACCGTTGTGCTAACCAAATTCATTTACTTATTATCCTAACCGAAATCGAACCAAACCGAAAATGCATGGATTTTTGGTTCGATTAGATTTTTGGTTCAGTTTTTGACACTCGTACTAGTAGGGTCGCGTGTCTATTGACTTATTTTAATAATTGAATTTGCTGTACTCTTCACAAAGGAGGATATGAACAATTGTCATAGTATAACGCACATGGATATGAATCATAAGGTGGTAGAATTTTACCAATAATGGCGTGCCGTTTGTATTATCTTAGACACATTGAATGTTGACGTGTAAGTCATATTTAATTTTTCCACATGTGACACATTTAATAATTACATCTGGTTGTCAAATTCTTATCGATTAGGATTTGTAGCCAATATAGCTCTGTTATTTATAGAAATGATGGAGGCTGTTGGGCCAGCTTTCATTTTTTTTTTGGCCACAGGCAAAACATGGTTACTATTAAAAGCTAAATTAATCTCAAACAAGTATTCTCTATGATCTATTTTCATTTAAATTTTCTTAATTAAATAGATTAAATAAGTAAAATTTAAATTTAAACATGGAAATATTACTTTTTGTATTGATTTTATATGTTACGTACATGAATTGAGGACGAAAAGGATATTCGATATAAAATTGAAGAAAAAGTTGCAATTTAACCCCCTTAAAAGGCATGTGTATGGCACATATTAAGGGAAAAGTTAATGGTGTAAATCAGTAGCAAAATGCAAGCTCAGAGGGATAAAATATAACTACCTAAAATTAGAGATTTAACCTATACCAATCCCAAAGTTGAAGAGGTAAAATGAAGTTTTCCCTATTTTAACTCCTTGCTTTATTTTATTTACTTGTGAATGTTTAAGATTTGACACTCACCGTTGAACTCCTCAAATTAAAAGTACATCTATATCACCATTTGAAGTCATTTAAAATTGTATGAGATTGTCAAAACTTTTAAAATTCACACTAAATTTCTTTTTGTTTGGATCGAAAGTCAAAAGTACTTTCGATAAATACAAGCAAACTCTCAATTCGTGATCTTCCTTCGTCAAGTAAAATCTTCTTTGTCTTCACACACTAGCTCTAACAACAAATGGAAAATGGTAAATAGTATAGATATCCTCAAAATCTAGAGGACATATTTGCATATAGGAAAATTGTCCAAAAAGTCATAAACCTATTGTACGGTGGCCAATTCAATATTAAATCTTTCAATTATGCCAATTTATGCCTAAACCTTTTGACAACTTGCCAATTTAGTCCTAAACTTTTTAATTGTGCCAATCTATTCCTAAAAACCTCTTAATTGTGACAATCTAGTCCTAAATCTTTTGATGAGTTTTCAATTTAATCCTGAATCTTTCAACAATTTGCCAATTTAGTCTTTCCAGCCAATTTTAGCTTGAAATAGTTGACGTGGCGGTCTAGTAAGTGCCGGCCATCCTATGTGGCATGGCCGCCACTGAGTGGACAATTTTTTTTGACATATTTTTAAATCGTTTGAATTTGTTATAAATTATATAAATTTTTTCTTTTTCTTTTCTTCTTCCTCCAATTGGTCGGTCAACCTTGGCAATGGCCAGCGACCAGCCAGATGACGGCTAGCGAGGTCGACCCCACCCTGCCACTGGCGAGGGTCAAGCCTCGCCAGATCCAATGAGTGCGAGCCTCACCCGAGGCTGCCGAGGCCACTAGCGAGGCTTGAGCCTCACCAGTGGCTGGGTGAGGAACAACTTTGCTGGATTTGGTAAGGTTGAACCTCACCTGTGGCTGGCGAGGGTGAGTATTGCTAGCCACTGGCAAGGTTGACCTCACCCAGTAACGGTGAGGTCAAGCCTCACCAACCCAGCCATTGAAGAGGCCGATCTCACCCAACGACGGCAAGGTCGAGCCTTGCTGGCTTGGCGACTCATCTTTGGCCGATCGCTGGCCATTGGTAATGCCTAGTGACCAGTTAAAGGAAGAAGGAAAGAAAAAAAGAAAAACAAGAAAAAAATTCAAAACTTTATAAAAAGTTCAAAAAAATAGAAAAAAAGTAAAGAGTGTCATTGTTAGCGCCGGCCATGCCACATAGGATAGTCGATGCTGACTAGACCTCCACATCAACTATTTTCAGCCAAAATTGATCAGTAGGACTAAATTGGTAAATCATTAAAAGATTTAGGACTAAATTGACAACTCATCAACTAGATTGGCGCAATTGATATATTTAGGACTAAATTGGTAAGTTGTGAAAAAAATTTATGACTAAATTGGTACAATTAAAACGTTTAGAAATGAATTGATCGACATATAATAGGTTTAGGACTTTTTGGACAATTTTTACTTTACATTTTAAATTTTAACTTGGTGCCTATCAATTAAAAGCAAGAATATTTCTATGAAGTCAGTGTTTTGGTGGTGGTGGGTTAATGCGGACCTTTAATTGAGGGGTTGGTGTGTTACTCGTTTGATTGGGATAAATTTATGATGTAAATTAACTCTGTAATTTTAGAGAATCTCAATCTAATTACAAATCAAACCACAAATAGATAGCGTGGTAGTTGAGGATTTGTGGAGGTGAGTTATACATAAAATATAGGTTTAATCATGTCTTACATCTTCAAGTGTCAGGAATCTTACATTTGAGCAACCCATGTCACCCCTATCTATTCATGGCCCACGTTATCATGTCGTACACTAATTTGTACATTTCCATATATAGCAAAAACGACTCGATCTGCATGTTTTCTTCTAATCGACATCTTCATCAATTCTATAAATGGCCCTTTTTAGATACCCTTTAATTATTGAGAAATGTTCATGTGAAGAGAGTGGTTAGCACGAATCTTTACTGATGGGGATCTTGTCCAAATCTTTATTAAAATGTAGATATTTCCTCTCAATAATCGCATCAACGTTTTCCTCGCAGGGCGGAACAAGATTATTTTATTCGGCCATGGGCTCAACATGGTCACTTTGGCTGCGAGCGGAACATGCTTTTAAAGGCTTTCCGCTAGAGTTGCAATGATCATTGGATTCCACAGCCTTCGCCAATACCAAGTTCGTCCCAACCATGGAGGCTTCATCGCTTTACACTATCCTTTCTCTAATTTTCTTCCTCCTCCTCACTCTCAAGCTCTTCTCTTCGTGGTTGAAGCAACCCAAGAACCTCCCGCCGAGCCCGCCTTCCATCCCTATCCTTGGCCACCTCCACCTCATAAAACTCCCCCTCCACCGCACGCTCCACTCCCTCTCCCAAACCTACGGCCCCGTCATTTCTCTCCGCTTCGGCTCCCGCCGGGTCGTCGTCATCTCGTCAGCAGAAGCCGCCAAAGAATGCTGTACTGAAAACGATCTCGCACTTGCCAACCGCCCCTCCAGCTTCGCCAGCAAGCACCTTGGGTACGACAGCACAGTTCTTACCCTGGCCTCGTATGGCGACCACTGGTGCAACCTCCGCCGCATTTGCACCCTAGAAATCTTCTCCTCCACCCGTCTCAACTCCTTTTTGGCCATTCGAAGGGATGAAATCAAGCGACTCCTGCTTACTCTAAACAAAAGAACCTCATCATCTCCCGATGACTTCACTAAGGTGGAGCTAAGATCGATGTTCTTGGAGATGATAGTCAACATTGTTGTAAGGATGATGACTGGGAAGAGGTATTATGGGGAAGATGTGACCAATGTCGAGGAGGCTAGGTCGTTTCGTGAGATGATATCTGAAATTCTGCAGTATACTTTCGGTGGTGTGTATCCAGGGGATTTCTTGAGTATTTTGAGGTTGGTTTTCAGGGATTATGAGAAGAACGTGTCTAGGTTGAGCAAGAGATTGAACGATTTCTTACAAAATTTGATTGAAGAAAACAGAGCTAGTAGCAAAAAAGGTGGTGGTGGGAGTACGGACACTATGGTGGATCATTTGCTTTCGTTGCAAGACACGCAGCCCGACTATTACACTGATGAGATCATCAAAGGGCTAACAATGGTACGTAGAATTTTGACAAATCTTTGCATCTCATCCTCATCATGGAATAGTGCGTACACATAAGGCGTATCATCCATCGTGTCTTTTAAAATACATAATTGATTGTTTCAATCTTATGATAAATCTTGCAACTGAAGTTGGTGCCATATATACGAGTTTCCATTTGAAAAAGGATAGCATATTTCCGCAACCAAAATATTTTCTTCCACAAGGAAATAAATGGGACATTGGATTTTAGTGGGACCAGGTCCATTGGGACAACAGCACAAGACTCTTGTATAGATCAAGATAAATATGAAGATTTGAACTATACTCAAATCACTCAAATATTTTCAGAGTTTCCAAATCTTCAATTATACTCAATAACTCACAGTGTTTAGACCTCACAATTACTTGCAAAACCTTATCTCAACCTCACAAATGAACTTAAGAATTTTATCACACGATCTATTGGCTTTGAAACAAACACAATTTCTTAATGATGTAATTTACGAGCACGGCCTACAATTGATTGTTATGGCAAAAACCTCACCTGCCCTCCTTGGGGTAAAAACCAAAATTCCCCTCTTATATAATATTTGGATCCGAAATAGTTATCCCTTTTATGAAATTTACTCAAATTAGGAAATCACATAAACTAGGAAACCTACTTGGATCGGGTTTCCTTTACGAGATCAAACTCGAGATATAGTGTCAATACAAATAATGAATAAATCTTATTATTTTTGTTAATGTGTCCACATTTACTCAACCATTTTGTGATAGGAAAGCTATACTTTTTTTTTATTATCATTTCTCAGTTACTTTATAGAATTTTATATTCGGAGAAGATAGCATGGTGGGATACATGGATGATACCCTCATATTCAAGTATTTGATTGTGCAACATAGTAGTTTGACGATTTAATGGTCATGTCTTTTTGTTGTATATTCTTCCATAGGTCATGATTGTAGGAGGCACCGACACTTCTACTACGACAATGGAATGGGCAATGTCTTTTTTACTGAGTAATCCAAATACTTTAAAAAGAGCTACTGAGGAGTTGGATAGTGTGATTGGCCAAGAATGCTTGATAGATGAAACAGACATTGCAAAACTTCCTTATCTCCAAAGCATTGTATCGGAAACTCTACGTTTGAAACCACCAGCGCCATTTCTAGTTCCACACATGTCATCAGAGGATTGCACCATAGGCGGTTATAACGTACCTCGTCAGACCATAGTATTCATCAATGCATGGAGCATTCATAGGGACCCGAACTTGTGGGATGATCCGACAAGCTTTAAACCAGAAAGATTTGAAAATGGAGATGATGGGCAATACAAGTTCTTGCCATTTGGGCGTGGGAGGCGAGCCTGTCCCGGAGAAGACATGGCCCAACGAGTGATCAATTTAGCTTTGGGATCGTTGATCCAGTGCTTTGAATGGAAAAGCATAAGTGAAGAAGGAATTAATATGCCTAAGGGGGTGCAGTTGGAAGCCATGTGCAAACCCCGTAAAATCATGGCGAGGATTGCTGAGCATTGAGTGGGAGTGAAGATATTGCTACTAGTCCGTGTGTGGTGTTTGCAAAAATAAATGATCAGTTGTTAAGAATTGTGGCGTGTATGATAATGGTTCAAGTCTTAAAGACAAGTTTCGTTCTATGTTGATCTAAATAAAATAAAACCCTTTTTCGTTTCGTCTAGAATGGGACTGTTTATAGCCACAAAAGTTTGAATTTGGCAACAGCATAGTTGTGACTCTACATTTTGTCCTGCCAAGTTATTGCGATTTTGATCGAAAATTCTGAAGAAACTTGCGACACTACGTCATACTTCACAAAGATGGAAGTACGTAAATTTGGTAACAACATAAATTGCGATAATCATGAAGATGAGTTTGAACTTGAAAATGGGATAAGAAGTCCCATTACCACAAAGCGAGGCTCAAGACCCGCCCACGTCACCATTCAGTCTTGGCCCACCACCGGCCACACCCCATACCTAATGAACATGAGACATGCAAACATCACAGTGGTAATGTGTGTTAGCGTCGATGATTTTGAGCAAGAGTCTGTTGACAAATGTTTCGTGCTTTCAATGAGCTTGGCTATAGACAAGGTGATTGAGACGATGATATGTTGATACGTATGTTAACACCTAAATTTTAACTATCAATTTAGGATTTTTTTTTTTCGAATTTAAGATTTAATTGCATAAAAAATTAAGGATTATTTTTAAGCCCTAAACAAAATTAATTTTCATTAAATTGCATAATATATAAACATTAGGAGCATTTGCATTAATGGTGATAAGAATATATACAAAGGAAATAAAAGAGGAATAATAAAAGATCTTAGCACTATTCATAAATGAGAAAGAAATATTGCACGCGAGGACATATATGTAATGTCTATTATTTGAGCAATATATTTCTCTCAAAACAAGAAAGAGGGCCCGTTCTTCACTGAATTTATAATATATACAAAGGAAGTCGAGATTATTTTATGATTTCGCTGTGATATTTGGGAGCCCACTTTTATTGCGTACAGGAACTAAACAGGAAAGAAAGAGCGAATGATCATTTCTTGCAGGTACAGAGCACCATAATAGGGACCTTCACGTGTCAATATGCATCAGAAAAGAAAGAAAGCAACAATAGAGAAGGAAAGAGACAAAAAGGGTACTATATTTTTCACATTAGGAAAGAAGATTGGGTCTCTTTCTCTGAAGACCTAGGCTGAGTTCCATATTTAGCCAAAACGATTCCATCTGCATGTTTTCTTCCAACCGACATCTTCATTGATTCTATAATGGCCCTTTTTGGATACCCTTTAATTGTTGAGAAATGTTCAAGTCCCGAGAGGGGTTAGCACGAATCTTTATTGATGGGGAACGTGTTCAAATCTCAGCCGCATGTCCTCTTCATGAGTAGATATTTCCTCTCAATAATTGCATCAACGTTCTCCTCGCAGGGAGGAAAATGATTATTTTATCGGGCCACGGGCTCAACATGGTCATTTTGGCCGCGAACGAAACGTGCTTTTAAAGGCTTTCCGCTAGAGTTGCAATGATCGTTGGATTCTACCGTAACATCCTGAATTCGATCCACTTTCGTGATCAATAAAATAGATGTGTATTTCTCATTTCATTTTAGTAAGTCTCGCCCGGAACGGATCCTTCTCGGGATACTGACCATTAGGGAATGGCTAACTAGGAAAACGGTACGTGGACCTAAGAACTCGACCGTGAATCGAGGCCCGATTCCGAGAAACGACGAGGGAATATTTTGTACCAATGAGGGCCGATCCAAGGAGAGTGATGGATTTGATTTGGTCAACGACGTACGATCGGAACGCGGGTGATTTCGCACGATCGAGAGTGCGTGTGGCAAACAATCCCGATTTTATTCCGAACGATCGCGACCCCCGGAACTAGTGATAAATCCTCGTGTTCTTTTGGAAATCGAGACCGTCACGACTCGAGTAATCCTAAGTCGATACGCGTAACCCCTAAACAGCCGCCCGTTAGTGAGAGACGCTAAAATCGCATTTGAGCGAAATTGATCGTGGAATTGAGTCCGGACTTGAGTGTCGAATTTCATGGATGTACGCGACTATTTTGCAAGGATAACGTCGTATTTATGTGGCCAATTATATTTGTGATCGGTATAGTCGAAAAATGGAATTTCGGACCGAGAATGGAAAATTACCAAATTGCCCCTAAGCCTACGCATGGGTTCCGAATTTTAGAGTTTTAATTTATTTTATTCAGCCCCTACTAGTGCCGAAATATTGGACATTGATGCCCCCATCACTCTTGCTCAATTCCCTAAGTGCCTCTAGATATTTTGTGTAAGATTGAATCGTGGCCCTTGGATCTAGCTTGCCCAACAAGACCAATTGTGAGCCCTTGGATTACACTTGATTGATACGTTGACTTTGGTCTCTCTCTCTCTCTCTTCTCCTCCTCCCCCACGTCGCCGCTGGCCTCTTCTTCCGCTGACGCCCACCCCTTTCCCCGCCGAACACCCCACGTTGTTGACCTCCCCATGCAGCTGCCATGATGGATTTTTGCTTGTTGACTCCTGTTCTGCTGACTTTCCCACTCCTTCACATGACTGCTGTTGTTGCTCTACTGAACCCATGCTGTTCTATTGACTTCTGCTCTTGCTGATCATGTTGGTTGACGCTATCGCTCCTACGTTGCTTCTTTGCTTCTTCTTTCCCTCTGCTGTGACTGACTTCCACTCATTCCCTTCTTTGCTCAATTGTTGCTTCTTTGACCCTTGCTGTTGCTTTGCTGACCACCCCCACGCCTGCAGCTATTTCTGCTTCATTTCTGCCCCACGTTGCTGCTGCTTCTACTTCATTTTCTGCTGCTGCTTCGCTGCTACTTGCTTCTTCATTCTGCTTCCTCGGGTTTCGCTTGCTTCTCACCCTCCATTCCAGCCCGACCAGACCGCCGTTCAAACCCCCATCTCCACCCGACTCCGCCGTGAGCCGCCGCTCGCCGCCGCTGGTCCGGCGTCGTGCCACCGCTGTTCAGCCCGTTTCTCTCCTTATCCGACCCACATTTGAAGCTTTGAACCTAGTGAGTGGAAACCCTAACCCTTATTTAGGCTTATGTGCACTTTAGACAAGTTTTAGGGGTTATTAGGGTATTTTAGGGGTTAATTAGTGTGGGCTGATTAGGGCTGATTTTGTGGTGATTTTAATGGCCTAATGTGATGATTTAGGGATGGTTTAAGGGCCGTGGATAATTGGTTTAGTGGCTGGTTGTGCTTGGTTTGCTTGGTGGCGCATGTTGGTTGATTTCTGGTAAGGTTGCTGCTGCGTTGCTGGATTTTGCTATTTTTAGTATGACTTTTGTGGGCCGAATTTGAGGAAGTATTCTTCATGAGAGTTGTTCATAACATCTTGAAGTTTGGTATAATTTAATTTGGGAATTTTTGGAAATCATTTGAGGCCATTCATAAGTCCATCTTTGGACCGAAATAAGTCTGCCGGAAACACTGTTCCTCCGACCTTCGGGTCTGTTCGAATTTTTATAAATTTTTATAGACCTATTTTCAAAATACTTCCTTCACAAAACTTGTTGGGGACATTTGTGGCTATGGCATATAAAAATTTCAAACCTTTCTAAGGAGATTTGGTTACTGCTTGAAATGCATTTTGAAAGCCGGATGGCCAGTCCGAATGAAATATTTTATGTCCGACTTTGGATGACAAAAAGAGGTAGTTCTAGACAGAAATGGATTTTGTGTTCTTCATGAAAAATGTTCATGAAGATGTTTTGTACAACATATCCAAATTTCATAATTTTTGGAATTGATTTACTATTTATTCCAAACGAATTTCTGTCATTGTGCAACCGCCCAGTTTGGACCCGATTTTGTATATTCTCGATTTTTTTCTCTCTCTCGGACTGATTGGTGGCTGCCCATTGATGGCTTAATTGGGCCTTGTACGACTAATATGTGATTTGTTCGTGAATTACCATGTGTGATTGGTTGGACCATGTGGTGGCTGAATTGGGGATTGAATTGTGCTTGACTATACAATGCCATGTTGAGTGCTAGTGTGACCGAGAATTGAGGGGCATGGCGGGCCTTGAGTGTGCTCGACTATATTAATTAATCGCATGAATTCGGGTGACCAGTATGTGAGATGGCTGTTTTGAATTCATTGATTCATTGGGCGTGCTAAGAGGTGAATTAAGCATGTCGTGGCATAAATTGAGCTTGTGGCTAATTTAAATTGAGTACCCGAGTGTGATTGTTATGGCCATGAGTGTGCATATTAAGCATTGGCATAACATGTGCATTATGTGAGTATGCACGATTGGCATGAGCATGTGATCACCTAAATCGCCCTGAGGCGTTGTTTACGCGGGGTTCAGATAATAACTGGTGGATGTGCATGTGTGATCACATAAAGCCCTGATGCGTTTACGCGGGGTATTGAACCCGTCCTGATGCGTTTACGCGGGACGATGCCCGGATTGCCGGAAGACGGCCAACCTGATGCGTTTACGCGGGTTTGGTTCGTATATGGAGATCGGTATTGCGCCTGATGCGTTTACGCGGGCTAAAGACACTGGGCCTGATGCGTTTACGCGGGCCAGGAAATGTTGGATATTGATGGTCCTGATGCGTTTATGCGGGACGATGCTCGGATTGCCGGAAGACGGCCAACCTGATGCGTTTACGCGGGTTTGGTCCGTCTATGGAGATCGGTGTTGCGCCTGATGCGTTTACGCAGGCTAGAGGCACTGAGCCTGATGCGTTTACGCGGGCCAGGAAGTGTTGGATATTGATGGATCTGATGCGTTTACGCGGGTCGGACCTGATGCGTTTCACGCGGGTCGGAAGTGAATAATCGAAAAGTTGGCACGTGTGCAAGTGTGTAAGTGTGCATTGAATTGTGCAAGCATGAGCATGACATTGGCAAGTGTGCAAAGAGTGCATAACGAGTGCAAGCATATGCGTGGCATGCGATCATGGCCAATTGAATGATATGTGTATGTGCATTGTGGGGCATAGTATTATTATTATTATTATGTGCCTAACCTGCAGGGTCACTATATGCTTGATTTGGGCCCGAGGGCCTAAGCCGTGTGATTGATCAACTGTGTGTTTAGTTGATGCTTGTCCGGGAGGTGCATGTTAGCCTAGTTTCGGATTAGGGGGCCTACTCGCTGA